TTAAAACAAAAGCAGAAAATCTAACATGTTTAGGACATGTTTAACACAGGACTAATGCCTCAACTATAACTTGTTCATGACAGGTTGTTAATTTCTACCACAAGAATATAATTTAAGAGTAATCCTTTCCCTGATGCAGAATATGGACCAGTGGACGATGAGACAGTCGTCTCTGGAGCTGCAGCTGATGATCAAACAGAGCACCAACAATGTAAGTGTTATCTGTTTGTTTTAAAAAAGAAAAGAAAACAACATAATCGTGGGGTTTCTGTTATCAGACACATCAGATTGTTTCTTATTTGTTTTCCTTCAGGAGCTCTACTCTCTCTTGGAGAACATAGCCAAGGCCACTATAGAGGTGTTCCAGAAATCAGCTGAGATGAACTCCAGTAACCCCTCAGGGAACGGGGCAGCAGCCCAAGGAGGCTCTGCATCGAATAACAACAGTACCACAAGCAAAATGAAGCCTATTTTAAGGTGCGTCTCTCCTCAGGTCTTGTTAAAATTATTTTATGGTTTTTTTTTTTTTTGTTGTGTCTGGACATTTATTTATAAGGAAGAAATCATAGCCATTGCATTTGGGTTTGAATACAGCGATGCTGACGTCGAATATTTCTTATCTGCAGCTCATCAGAGCGATCGGGTGTTTGGCTGGTGGCTCCGTTGATAGCCAAGCTGCCCACGTCAGTCCAGGGTCATGTGCTGAAGGCGGCAGGAGAGGAGCTGGAGAAAGGGCAGCACCTTGGCTCTTCTTCACGTAAGGAGAGGGACAGGCAGAAACAGAAAAGGTATGTGGCAAACTAACATTTCTTTGTTGTTAAACCAGTTAGATTTCTTTGATCTGGAATCTCAGAAAGAAATGTTTGGCAGGAAGGACATTTTCATTTTGTAGCACTTACACATGTTATGAAATCTCCAAAAACTCCAAATGATTCCTTTTTCATCAAGTGAAATTTGTTTTCCTTTCACAGTATGTCTCTGCTGAGCCAGCAGCCGTTCCTGTCTTTGGTCTTGACCTGCTTAAAAGGGCAGGATGAACAGAGGGAGGGTCTCCTCACCTCCCTTTACAGCCAAGTGCAGCAGATTGTCACCAACTGGAGAGAAGACCAGTACCAGGATGACTGCAAGGCAAAGCAAATGATGCATGAGGCACTGAAGCTACGACTGAATCTTGTAAGCGTTTTTAAAGAAGAGACAGCTGGTTTAAAAAAAAGAAAAAGAAAGAATTGCATGAATTAAATCAAACTGCAAAGAAGGCAAAAAAATCCACATTGTTTTATAATCTTTGTGGGGAGAAGTGCCTAACATTCACACTAGGGCTGGGTCACTGATTTCTAGAATCGATTCGATTCCAATGCACAAAGTCCCGAATCGATTCGATCCACGATTTGATTTGATTCAATGCGATTTGAATCGGGGACATTTTGCCTCAGACAGTCAGAAATATTACAGTTCAGATCATGCATCAGTACATTTCCATATTTTTATATCTATAAAACGAAAGCTGACGCTTGCGAGACTTGATCAAAGGTGTGAGCATCACAGCAGATGCCTTTGTGTCAAAGTAGCTGAGGATAAAACAGAAAAACGTGAAGGTGATTCTCCTGGGATCGTTCAAAAACGAAAGAAAACCATTAATCAACACATGAACATTGCCTGATGCTGCTGACGTGAAGCAGAGCAAAGTTACAGAGGTTT